CTATTCGTGGCCTGCGCTCGACTCCCCTACAAAGACATCCTTTCATGACTTTAGCTCTACATTTAGGCCACATCCAACTTGAAGTGGCAAATGAGTTTTGTACGCGAATCGCCGGTGTGTCCGCCTTGTCCGCTGGCACCATTAGGAGTGTTATCCCTGAACCCCGCATCTCCGAAATGGACAATCTTTTCACTACAGAACTTGACGCATCTTTGGCGGCTTCCCGACGATCATCTTCACCAGGACCCGATGGCATCACCTACGCCGCTCTAGCCAACCTTCAACAGGAGGCAAGGGGACAGTTATTAAGCTATTACAACCACCCATGGCAGACGGGCATTGTTCCCCAGGATTGGAAGATAAGTCGACTTCTGCCACTACTTAAAGCAGGAAAGTCACCATTTGATTTGACATCATTTCGCCCTGTTGCCCTCGCAAGTTGCGTAGGAAAAGTCATGGAAAGGATGATACTTACACGCCTAGAATGGTACCTCGAGCGCTACAACGTATACCCAAACTGCATGACGGGTTTTCTGCGAGGTAGGTCATCTCTTGACAACGTGATTGATCTCACAACATTTATCCAGCAACAGAAGGGCCTCAAGTGCATACCACTGCCACTCTTCCTCGACGTCAAAAGGGCTTATGATAACGTAACACATAAAGCCATCCTAGACTCGTTGGAAGCTGTTGGAATCGGTGGTCGGATGTTCCAATGGATCCAGGATTATTTGACGAGAAGGTCCTTTTTTGAACAAACCTCAGATGGACCTACCACCAATTACTATACCTCCCGTGTCGTCCCTCAGGGTGCCGTATTAAGTCCCACTTTATTTAACCTCGTGATGGTAGGACTTAGTGAAATTTCGCCAAGTACTATCCTCATATCCATACATGCTGACGATATTTGTCTATGGACTTCGGCTGTAACTCGTCTACAAGTACGCGCAAGAGTCCAGCAGGCTGCCACCCTGACATGCTCATATCTCCACAAGCAAGGTCTTTCCGGCTCAACGGAGAAATGTGCATTGGTTGCGTTTACTCGCAGAGCCATGACACAATACCCCGTTACCATCAATGGGCAAAATATTCCTTACCAGAAGAACCATCGCTTCCTGGGTGTGATTATTGACAGGGACCTTTCGTGGAGTGCCCACTGCAATTACCTGAAGAGAAGGCTAACTTCCATTGTCCATATAATGCGGTTCCTCTGCGGAAAATCTTGGGGCACATCGATAAGGTCAATGATGCAGCTATACAGGGCACTGTTTCTGGAATTTTTGCGCTACAGTTTGCCGTTACTGGTAAGTGCGTGCAAGACGAACATCCGCACCCTCGAAAGTCTGCAAGGGCAAGCACTACGCGTGTGCTTAAGATTGCCGCGATGCACCTCAACCTACGAGGCAATTATGACCGCAAGAGAGCATCCAATTCAAACATACATCACCACTGATAATTTGAGAGCCCACATAAGACACCTCTGCCGAGTTCCTGGTCACCATGTTGCAGTGTTGCCACTTAAGACCACAAGAGATGTTTTCAAAGATTATTTCTGCCCATAGAGAATGCCTTCCTTTTGGCTTCACTCCAGCAACAAGACCAGCGTCACCTCCGTGGTGCCTACAACAACCACAGGTGTGCCTCACTATTCCGGGAATAACGAACAAGAGCCGTCATTCAACAGTGGTCCTACGACAGGTGACATTGTCGCTACTCAACGAAACATACGGCCAGAGGACCCACATTTACACCGATTGATCGGTCTCGGCTGACAGCTCCACAGGTGCTGTTCTCATCCCGGCGTGCCAGGTCACTATAAAACTCAAACTGTCGCATAGGACAACATCCACAGCAGCGGAGCTTGCCGCCTTACGTGCTGCTATACTTTATCTCGCGGAAGCCCGACCTCAAAAATGGGCTGTGTTCTGCGACTCCAAGGCATCCCTTCAGAGCTTGCAATCAGCTTTGCGACAAAGGGAGCATCAACAACTAGTGAATGAAATAAGAGAAGTGATTCACAAAGTTTTATCGAAAGGACATGACGTGGTGTTCCAATGGTTACCGGGACATTGTGGTATTGTCGGTAATGACCTTGCTGATAATGCTGCCCAATCCGCCCACGCGGACACCCAGACAACCCCAATTCCATTGTCGAGAACCGACGCTGCAAGGGGCCTTCACTCGTTCGCTAACACCATGTCGGAAACTTGGCTGAGTGACCCCAGTGTCAGGAACCGCCGCCTACACAAATTGAACCCACCGAGAAAGCTTCAAGTTCTATCGGACCTCTCCCACCAGGATGCAACTTTACTGTGCCGCCTGTGGTTAGGAGTAGCTTTTACAAAGGCGTACTCCTTTCGCATAGGAATGGCGGATAGCTCCCGATGTGAATCGTGCGACACTGACGAGACAATAGAACATCTACTGTGTTCATGTGAACGTTTTTCGAGCGAACGCAACTTGCTACGCGATACGTTAGAGACACTAGACAGTAGACCTTTCTCCGAAGATAAGATCCTTGGTTCATGGCTGTACGCGTCGCAGGCCAGCAAAGCGACGCGAGCACTGCTAAGTTTTCTAAAGACGACCGGACTACGCGACCGCTTATAAGCGTGCAGTGGACAAGGTCACATCTACACACACATTGCCCTTCACTTCTCTCTCTCTTCTCCTTTAATCCCCTCACCCCTTCCCCCAGTGCAGGGTAGCAAAACGGACGTGCGTCTGGTTGACCTCCCTGCCTTTCATTTCTTCCCTTCCTCCTCCTCCTCCTCCTCGAGTCAACTTTTGTCATTATTTGTTGGTTGTTGTTTTTATTTTGTTATTCACGCCCTGTTCATTTATTCTAACTCAGTTTGAGCATTGTTAGACACGCTTTAGACTCGTATTGATCGCTTGAATTTGAGTGTGACCACGCGACTTGAGATCTACGGATAGAATAGCGGTACGCTTGAAGTGCCACACACTCTAAAAATCATTGCAATGAACTCAGTCCCCGTACTACCTGGGGCAAGCGTGGTGGTAGTACGATAAGTTTGAGCCCTGATGGGGCTAGTGCACGCGACAGGCACTACGCTCGGCTGAATGGCAACTACATCATGTAGAATCGCACTGCGGAGTTTCCATACCTTTGCACCATTCATTGTGAACCGACGTTAACAACAAACATTTCTGTTTATTTTCTCTCCGACTGTGACAGATGGAACGAAGTGATTCTGTGTTGTGCCCATGTGCGCATGCGCGAACAATCCTGTCGCGCACAATCAACGAGGTACGCACTCAGAGCTCTTGTTCGCTCTTTTCCCTTCCTCTTATTTTTTTGGCCCTGTGGCGCCGTAGGGTAGCAGTCTAGCAGATAACATGCAGCCTGATTACCTCTCGGCTTTACCTTTCTTCTTTCTCTCACCCTCTCCTTCTGCGTCGTCTACTTAGCTTATTGTCGCCAAGTCGGCTCAGGGCATTTCGTGTCTATGGAAGACACGAGTATATAAATAAATATAGAACGGCTGTGCAGCAAAAGTCATCTGGACGTAATATGGATGTAAGAAAACAGCCCGACACCCTCAGAAAGCTACTCGCTCCATTAATTAATGATTCGCTTGAAGGACTGTGCATGCAGTAATGAAAATATGAACATTTGTTTCTCTTTCTTTCCATTACACGACTCAGTCAGAAGGCAATCGTTAAATATCACACAATGGTATGTTATTATAGGTGGTATAGCTGGTTAGTATATGAGCTCACTTGACATTGTCTTACTTTCAATGAATCAAGCACCGGGGGAAAGGGTAATTGCATTTTTCTTTTTTTTTCTTGGTTCCATAATGTCCGATCCTAACGCAGTTTCCGTTTCATTAGAAAACTTAGGCACACCGGAAACCAAGTCAGCGGGTATAAATTTCCTGTTACCAAGCCCGAAATTGATTCTGTCATTAAACAGCAACATGGTGTGAGCGCATATTGACTAAACAATCATAATTATGTCGTATTGAATAAATTCCGTGATTACTGTTCCTTGTATTCTGCAGAACGTCCCCATGTAGAAAGTTCGTTGGTTTGCGATTGTCTCAAACATTCAATAATATTTATTTGAATACTGTATGCCATCAGTGGGTGAATGCGTGTTTCGTAATTAACAGTCTGCTTAAGACTTCATGCCTCCACTGTAGGTCGTTGCGAAATATATGGCATCGTGTGTATCAGCTTCTGTTCGCTAGAATAGTTAATTTTTATATTTTTTATTGCGCAAAATCTGCTTAAGGGGTCATCGTGGTAGCTCTAGCTTCAAGAAAACGTTCTATTTTAAAGTTGTAAAGCCGCACGGACTTAAGGCATGAACGTTGGTAAACGAAACGAGAAATAAATTTGTAATAACGAATTCAAAATAGTATGTATGTTACACCCCTCCCAGCGCACTATCAACTGTATCAGTAAATAAGTATGCACGATGTATTCATAATTAGAGGTCTGCGTTTCTTAGTTGAAAGAAACGGCGCCAGATGTGGCTGATATTCTTTCGATTTTAGAGTTACTGTATATGGTCTTTACGGGAAAATACTGTACTGCACATGCTACCTACGTGACCATACACAATAGTTCTAAAATCGCAAGAATATTGATCGTTTATGCTTCCTTCGGGTAGCATATCAGAAACAGAATCTCGAGGATATCGTTTACGCTACTATCATATATGCATTATCGCAACAAGTTTGTATATGCCATCTCTTAGGTATAGTATATGCAATATATCCTTGTGATAAGTGGCACATAGTATATGCTACCTGTCAGTAGCATATGTATAGGTTACCATACGCTACAATATGCTATGCTTCCATTTCAGTGACATAGCAACCATAAGATAGCTACGTAGTTACATGATATGGTAGCATATGCTATGGTTTCTACCACTTGCATATGATACCAGATCACTAACATGAGCTACCTATCGGTAGCATATGGTAGATATCGATACAATATGCATATACTATATATCAGTAGCATTAGGCCACATATACAGTAACTATTTCATTTCTGCTCTGAATTTCTGGCATCTAACGAACCAAACAAAACTTACACGTCACTCAATGCATTAAAGCTGTGATAAGCGCGAAGAGGTAGGCGAGGGTGGTTTTTTCTCGTTGTTATGAAGACCCGTATAAAACTTTTTTCAAGTTAAGTTTTACATAGTGATATTGCAACTCACCTCAATTAGACTCCTAATCTGGGACAGCTTGACACGCGAGTAAGACAGCGCGCACGCCATGGCCCTGAATGCCGGTGACGACAGGTTTTCAGAAGCCTTCCCAAGCGCCCAGAAGGTCTGTGTTTATTGAAACATAAAAAGAAAGCAAATACATAGTGTAGATCGAACACTCTTGTTGGAATATACCTAACATGATACTATAGTCAAACTCTAAGGGGAAAAATAGGCAGATGTGGCGCAATATTTGGTAAGCAAGTGACGTCATATCGTTAGTGCCGCTAGCACAAAATTTCCGTTTTAAAATTTTGAGAAGCACTACGCAATGGAGAAGGAAGTGCGCTTCAGCTCCGCTAACGCGACAGCATCAAACGTACGAAAGTGTGTCCCACACCAAAGTTTTTACTCCATACTGCTTTACTTGCCACTGGTACGCAAACGAATTATCACTTTGCAGATATGTTTCAAGAAGGGGTGTTTCAAATAAATGACTTTGCCCTAGAAATGCACGTTAGTGTCTCTGGTATTTTACAAGGAACATGACCGCATTGTTGAAACTTAGCAGCGGCGTTAAAACACCGCTGCTAAGCCAAACATAATATTCTCATACATTTAACTCATAATACGTGTAGCATGAACCAGTAGCGAGTTGACGGATTAAATTACCCCATTATTGTGGCACACACTAGTTTACGATGGACCATGAGGATGACACGCCAACGTGACGACGACTTGACAGGCCCACAAGCCTTGAGCCTAAGGTGATTCGCCCTTAAAAGCGCGTGGCCAGTACGTGCACTATTTTATGCCTTACGCTCCGATAAATTGAAGTCACGTGTAACGTATACAGGTGCGCAAAAGGTAGAGTGATAGATAGCTTAGCAATGTGCATACCGATAGCACGAGTAGTATCGCATAGACGCTGCGTATTCAGTAAGGAAACCAGGCCGCAAGAACACTGATTCTTGAAAATTCAGCCAGCACAGTATATTCCAAACAATTTCCCAAGTTTCTTGTCAAGAATTCATGGTTAGCCAGGCGTAGGTGTGTTGCTGTTGCATGTTTTCCACCTTATTACTTGCATATTTGCACAGCACACTTTAACTACAAGTATTATGCTTTTGAGCTTGTATTCCAGACTGCCATATTAACCTGATGTGAACAATTTTGAAAACTTGGATGTTAACTTATTACAAGGATGAATAATTTTAAATACCAGATTAAAATGTTACTCGCCGAGTAGTTATAACGAAATTACACACGGCATCAAAGGCATCCATGTGGCAGTATCCCAATCCTGAGGCGCCGAAGCTTAAAACATCTTCCTCCGATAAGGTCAAGCCTGATTTTGCAAAAGGAGTAATTATAACTACTCCTTTATCTACTCCTTTATTCGCCTTTCTTAGGGTAAGTGAGGTATTCACTACATATATGTCTGGCACCATATGAACCTTGTTGATGCTGCACGTGGCGGATGTCGAAAAATTAAGGCTGGTAAATTTGCAGGTCGGAAGAAATTTCAACCACACACTCGTTGCACAATTAGCATTGTGTTATGACGGTTGTTTTACCTTCTGCCACGCTTTATTACATATAGGTTAAATCGATTACTTGACCTACATGACGCTTGCCTTTTTGCAAATTAAATGAACCACCACGGCTCTGTGGTTATACGCGGGTGCTATGCGCCGGGGCATTCATTGCATCTACATAACATTATTCGGGCGAAACATCATTCGCTACATGCACAGGCAGTTTCGCGCTTAAATAAAACTTTCCTTTGTGATGCTTGTTCCCTCCGTGCATAGTCGCGCTTTAATGGCAGCAACCACAACCCCCTCTTTCTAATGCCGATATGAGCTGAACCGTTTTTCAGCCGAAGCTTCGCCACACATTTGGATCGACCAAACGCCTTTTCTTGCAATACAGTGGTGCACCCAACTCTTTCAAACACGAATGGCATGGGTGTAATCTGCGTCACATAGTACTTTAGCAATGTGGCCAGTATTGACTTTTCAAAAAAAAAAAAAAGGAAACGCAAGCGAACCAGACGACTACTATTGTTCTGGAACACAGCTATATTCACCCTTTTTAACGTGCTGTTTCCTTTCTTTATCAGTTTAGCCTCTACTTAACCCTTTGAGACGCTATGCACACAACTGTGCACACCACTCGTGTTTTATATACATCAAGCAGAGGCTAAGAAAGAGCAAATATATATCGTACTTTGAATGAATTGAACCTCCTGCATAATAAATTTGCCTTCATTTAACTTCCTTTTGCAGTGCACTGATACGTACGGCCACTTTTCTGTAGGCACTAAAACGTTCTATGAGTCGTGCGGCCTGCCGCTTCCTGCTCGCAATGTGAAAAGCTGAATTTTTCTTTGCTCAAAATGAACATAGCCAAAAATAGTCCAGTGTTATATTCTTAGCCTGAGATTCGATTCTGCTTATGCCAAAAACAAGCATTGTTGACTTCATGGTTAAAATATATTTCATTACAACCTAATTACGATGACATATTTATATTGAAAAGGTATCTTATTATTCTTGTTGTAATAGAATATTGAGAGCCTTGAAGTAACGTTGTAGTGAGTTGACAAATTTGCAGACAGTTCTTTATTGGTAGCGTCTTAAAGGGTTTTAAACTCATACTTAGTGCGTAGTACTTAAATCGTACTTAAATAGCGAGTATCGTACTTAAAGATCGAGCAGCATCCTCGGTCTCGCCACGACATAGCGCGCACGCGTGTGTGCGTGTGCGCTTTTTATTCGCAAACATGTGATTAGACGTCCCATGACTGTTCCTTGGCAATGCACAGTATAGGATCGAGGATTAGCTCTTTAAGTTGATTTGCGCTTGAAAGAAGTGTCTACATTCTCAATTTCTTTAAAAAACAATAATAGCATGGAAGACACATCAAATGTAAAGAAATAGCAGAAAATAAAAACTAGAAACAGTAGAATAAGCACTTTTTTTCAATGTTTCATGCAGTCTCAAACATGAAAATAAAAAAAATTCAATTCAATGTGATGGTCTTGCATAAGCAAAACAAAAAGGGGCGCTTTACACGTCTTCTTTGTTATACAAAACACCGGAACCCCACTTCCGCAAAATGAGCTTCTATAGTAGATAAACCATGAGCTGATAGAAATCGCGACGTTGGGACCCCAAGGGGTGTCAGGACAACGGAAGCTAAATGCTAACGTATCGTTAAACTTCGTTCAGAACAACTGAAGCCCTTCTCTGTGTTATTTAACTTTTTTTTATTCAACCAAAAATGATCAGGCTGTTTCGAAGCGGACTTAGATGACAATGTGCTTCCACGCTGTCATCGTCAATGTCTTACTGGCCAAAGTTAACTTTACTAAACTAGCAACACAAAAGTTACGAATCAGTATAGCTTACGGCGGAACAGAATAGAATGGATAATTCAGACGAACTGCGGCGTTATTTTTTTTATGTTCCTATAGGCACCAGCTATTATATTCAAAAGGGGTCATTAAGGTTTCAACACCTAACATTCCGTGAACACCTTTTCTGCTAACAAAACAAAAATTGAGAAAGGAAGCATCTACTTTCTTTTCTTTTTTTCTTTCTACCTTTTTCTCTTTTTCTTTGTCTTTTTTTATTCTTACTGTATTTCTTTGTATCTTTTTCTCTTTCCTTATGTTTACATCTTTTCTTCCTTCCGCCCTATCTCTCCCTTTCTAATATTCGCCACGAATGCTGCCGTCAGCTGTACCACCGTTTAGTGTCTTGTTTCAACTATACCGTTCAACCCCAACGACAAACTTTGCCATCTAGTCTGTCGAAAAACCAATTTGCATAATTCAATATTTCACTGGTTTTATCCGGGCCACGGCAGTTGCATTTAGATCGAGGCAAAATGCTGGAGACTCAAGCGTGCTAGTTCAGGAACGCCAGATGGTCGAAATTAATCTGCAAGGCTCCACTACTACGACGCCTATCATGGCGAAAATCGCTTCGCGACCTCACACTGATAAGACATAACTTACCGTCACATGCATATATGCCTATTTCTTTCTCTTTGTGCACCTTCCAACGGTTAGCCCGAGTATATATCAACTCCACAATAGGTCGCTCGGAGGTACCCTCATTTAGGTACTGAGTGAACGCGCAAGTACACGATTAGGTATCGCGTAGGTTTCTGCAACTTTCTTCCATCTGCGTTCTCCATACGGCATTCTATATAGGTGAACTAATTGCTAATTTTATTTCATCCTGAACGCTTTTTTTAAAAAGAATGTGCAGGTGCTACGGATGAAAAATAGTCTATATGTAGCTATATATAGCCTACTTTCATTCAATTTCGCCCTTTGGAATTGCATTACCAGTCGCTCCTGGTGCCCTGTTCTGCTGCAGAGATTAAATGTCGTACTCACAAAGGAGCCTTGGTCTTACCTAGAGCTTTCCTGAAGTTTCGATACTCTACATGCGTTATAAACGCAGTAATATGCTAAAGAGGTGAGAGATTACAACATTGGTTCGTCAATACTGGCCTTCTTAGTACATCAAGCGCAATAAAGGATTACAACCGATAAGATAAAAGTTACACCATCTCCCACTAAAGGGAACCATGTATCAATGCGAAGCAGAGTGCGCTAACGCTTACACTTGTGGCGGCGTTGACGATGGCGCTCATCGCGGCGTTGCGCAAGAGGGAAGCCTGGGCATGCGCAAAGGACGCTGTGATAGACCGGTGTTTCCTTTCGGAGTGTGCCAATCGCTGCTAATGAAAGACAGGAAGCACCGCTTGGACACAAGAGACCCGCAGTGGGCTTTTAGTCAACGCGCACGCTGCGAATTTTTATTGTTCAACGACGCACAGGAGAAATCTTCCACCGGCACTACCTTGGAGGTCAATATACCGTGTCTATAGATACGGGTTGGCCAGTGATTGGTTGTGCAGCGTGAGCTGTCGGTTTTTTTTTTTTTTCTATCAAGGAACTCTCTAGCAGACGCTGCCTGCTTTGGTGTTGCGAGGTGAGAGAGAAGGAGACGACGTGCAGTGAGGGCGGTCACACCGCCATCCGGATTGAACTCGACCGTAAGATGCTCCGCATCAAAAACTCAATATAGGGCTGAGGATGGTT